CCCACACACACCCCCCCCGCACCCCCCCCACAACCCCCACCCCACACCACCCCACCCCCCCCCCCACACCCACAACCCCCCCCCCACAACCCCCCCCCCCCACACCCCCCCCCCCCCCACACCCCCCCCCCCCCCCCACATCCCCCCCCCCCCCCCCCCCCCCCCCCCCCCCCCCCCCCCACATCCCCCCCACACCCCCCCCCACATCCCCCCCCCACATCCACCCCCGACCCCCCCACCCCCCACCCCCCCCCCATGATCCCCCCCGCCCCTCCCCATATCCCCCCCCCAGCATTCCACCCCCCCCCCCATTCCATCCTCTCATCCCTTTCCAATGCCCTACATGGCCCTAATTGAGCGCGCAATCATCACCTGCTCGGAATTAGTGACACGTGGTGTCACGAGACACGTGGTGTCACGAGACACGTGGTTTCATTATAATCAACGTGCTCGCCGCCCCTCCCTCCCACCGCGACTCCATTGCCACTATTCCAGTTGTTTCATGGGGATTGTTTGCGTATGCCGTCTGTCTCGTCTTGGAATTAAGTGCTGTTTAAATCTAAGACGTGGTGGTCCTTTTGTTCCATCGGATTAAAGTTACAGAATAAGATTTTCACGCGTGATTTAGTTGCATTGTCGTGAGTGTTAAAATCGATATCAATCGATGAACAAAAATACATGCTCGTCATTATCGATTAGCGAAGCAGAATTAGCCCAATGACACCATTTGTTGATGCATTTTACTCGAGTCTTACGCTCATTTTTATTCAAAACAAATCCGAACATATTTGTCCTGGTCTTAAGGGCTATAGCGTTGTATATAAACGAGTCGTTATTAATCTCATCGTTTTTCCAAAAAGATTTTACTCAATCATCACAAATTCGCAACAGAAGATTAACCGCGAATTGTCATTCCACTGAGTGTTAGATGCCACCCTTCACATCTTCGCCGGCCATGGGTCTTGGATGAGTAAAAAAAAATCGATTCTGCCCCGCGGCGAATTTACTGTGCTTCATAATGGTCTCAATTACTCAAACATCTCAGATTTCCTTAATAAAAGGACTCCTTTCAGACTAGGCTGCCGTAGGGTCAAACTGCAAACACGGGCAAACTCTGTGATTCTTTCAGTAAAGTCACCTAATGACGGACGCTTGTGTTGCGCCCAAAACGTCGTGATTTATTTTATTTTATACCTACGTGACTTTACGGAAAGAACCAACGAGTATGGATTCCTGCAGCCACGAAATCTTCAAATCAAGACGGGCACACCAGTTGCGGCGGACTGTTGTGGTAACAAAAGTAATTTTGCCCATCTTGAGAAGAGCTGAAGACCTCGCGTGAAAATCTCACCGGCTGGGTGTGTAGCCACCACGGTGAGCGGACGAAGGTGATTGCGTAGTTGAACTTGTTGAAGACGCCTCGATGTGGTGGATAGAGCCCACGCATCGTGGTCATAAATATACGACTACGTATCGAAACATCTTGGAGACTCAACGGCGACACGGAGAGCTGGCAAGCCCCTCTCCGTCAGCCCTGCCCACAACTCACGTAGCACCGCACTCTGCCCGTATCACGAGTGGAGAATGACGGGCAAAAAAACATTTTACACCCGGGGACAATCTACGACATGTACAATGAACCAATACCCCCCCCCCACACACACACGTATAGCCTAACAGACTTCGGAGGCAAGTGCTGTTAGCGAGCACCAAACATGTACACACACGCGCGCGCATGCAAGAGCCTCCTTCGTCTTACAGAAAATGCAACGAGTTCTACGTTACGGGGGACGTCTTTAGCAGTCATCAGGCGCGTGCAGTGTGTGTAAAGACTCAACAATATGCATTTTATCGGAGAAGACCGCATGCTATAAGCTGTGACACATGCCGACTCGCAATTTTCTCCTCTATTGTTGCATTTGCATATAAATGACGCTACGTGATGATGTGCAATTATAGCAGTTCGAAATATGTGCTGCAGTGCACTGCAAAATTACACGCAGCAGCAGCAGCGGTGGTTATTACTTAATGGCTTAATGTGCTGTATCACATGCCCAAGTAATCCCCTGTACACCGCTGTGAGTCTGCTAAGAGGCAGCGATGCACACCGTATCTCAATGTTGTCGTACATTATAATGATCATCATCAGTAGCCATGATCAATCAACTGCTGGATGAAAAGGCCTCCCAAAGGCGTCGCCACCTCTCGCCATCCTATGTTTGGGCAGGTTTATTACGATTACACGATCCACCGTTGTTTGCCAGTGTCGTTTTCGCAAACATAAGGGGAATTGCACGAAAACGGATGGGTGTGGCGTGACCAATATAATTCCCCGACCAGCATTCCGGACTGAAATTAAGCAACTGCCCATAATCGACCGCAGTCTGTGACCAAATCACTGGAGAAGCGCCCGATCTCATCATGCTTCGGATTCGAAGTAGAATTGAGCCTGCGTAATGCAGGCTCAGTCCTAAACGCAAAGGTTGGTCGAGGCTGTAGAGTAGGGGCTACATTGTGAGCAACAAAGGGCGCAGTGCAACAACAATGCATTATTGTACCGTACTCCTATGCTTCCAAGCCTATGCTTACTGCCTTCACAGTTCTGCACTGGCGAGGGTGGTGAAGTATGGTCAAGCAACCCCTGTGACTGACCCGGCGTGTGAAAGTCCTCAGGTGGGTGAAAGCCCGCACCTCCGATGAGCACGGTTGGCTACGAATGTGGCTACGTACGGCGCGAAAGAAGTTCAACATACATCCAGAAGTGGATTGGCAAGGGAGTCTATTGATACGTGTACATTTTTATTGTATGTCATATGCGACCGTGACATTCAGTACAACCAGTTCTTTACAATACATCCTTGGGGCCATTACCACCGAAACCTCAACGCGGGTTTATTGCGCGCTTAATTCTAATTACGCAAGGCAGGGCTGTGGCATTGTAAGGCGCGTGACGTATGTGCGATTGCATACGTACACTACACACTTTGATCCACATGTATAGATCCCCAACTCAACTGATTTCTCATAACCCTCTCAATTTCTTTTCAGCAGGTGATTGATTATAGCACGCAGAGGTGTGAAAGCGATGGCACCATAACTCGCAGGTCTCAGGGTGTTAAAATATTTGATAACACGTGTGTTGAGATTGGTGGGCGACGTGCAGAGAGAGGCTTTGCAAATAAATAAAAAATATTGTTTTCGCTCAAAAGTAATTTCGCACGATATTCTTTCGTGGGGTATCTGGAAATTGATCACACGGTAGTATGCATATGCAGTGACACGTCCTAGCAATCGCTTCCGTGCGCAATGTTTGATGTATTGTTATTCCTGAATATAGATCATCATCCTTCCTTATTGCCCAGTCCTTTTCGTTAATCTCCCATGGGTGTACATCTCTCTCCTCCCTATTCAGTCTGTGTATATATATTAATATCTGTGTGTGTGCGTAATGTATGAGCTCATTCAGGTTCCGAGGTCGCGGGGCAGGTATCGTCTCGCTCATAGCCCCAGGTTTTGAGCCGGGTTGTTCTGCCACTCTCTGTAATTACGAGGATGCAGTGAGCACATGTATATACTTACTGTAAATATTACCTTCAAAGCACGGAGCGGTGGCGCAGTAGTTAGCACTGCAGTGAAATATCAACCCGGACAACCTAAGCTTGATTCCAGGCCGTGGCAACATCGTTAACGAGTGATATCCGATCCGGTTGTGGTACCACACGCACGAACCCAACCCACCCCCAGACACTTTACCGAGCCACTACTGCGGACAGCGTGGTGAAGTATAGTCAACCCCTCCACAACCGACGCAGTGTGGGGAGGCCTTCATCCAACCGTCAATCAATGTATTAACAAACGGTAGCAACATTATTATTATTATTGAAATAACTTCAAATGTATCCCGCGTCCACGTGTCTAGCACCGTGACCCGGGTGCCTGCATGGGCTGGATGGGTCTCTAGGCCCTGCAGCCGCCGGGCTACGAAGACCCGGGGGGAGGGCGCGGGGCTAGAGGGATTGGCCAAGTGGCCGCATTTCATTCCTTCTGCCAGGTGCCATGCCAGCCACGCTACGCCACTCCATTGTTACTTGGTGACTTCGCGTGATGTCGCCCTTTTATTAAGAATTGGTCAAACATCTTCTTATTTTTCATACTTTGATACTGGCAGAGATAAAAACTGCTCAAGCCGAGCTATAAGCGCTCTGCCGCGTTGCATTGTCTTTGTAATGTTCGCCTTTTGGTGTTCTCCAGTCTGACTTTGATAAGACAAGGCCATGAAGAAGCATCTTTGTTTGCATGTTTTTGCCACAAGTACGAGCGGTTAAGGCCGACTTTATTTTTGCGAAAGGTTTCTACTTGGCGTTTGAATATGGTAACGCTTCCTGTTTTATTGCCATAAAGGGTCAAAACCTATTCTTATTTTTCATATATTTCCAATCCTTGGCGATGACTTCACATCTTAATATGCTCTGTTGCATATCTTGTTAATATGCAACAGAAACATGTGCTGTAGATCATCGGCGGGCTCTGGGTTACGTAAAGTGCTGTACGTACGCACAGCAGAAGGAGCGCACTGAAACGATTGATTTAATCATGGGACGATTACCAGAACATCTCGAAAGGAGAGCTCTGGTGACTTTGGTTCATACCCTGGGCCGAGACGGCCTCTGGGCGTGCGAATCGATGCGAGAGGGCATCTCTGTTCGACACTACTCTTCTGGGCTGTATCTACTTCACCACCCCATTTCAAATTTCAAAGTTTCGACACAAAATGTGGGGGGGGGGGGGGGGGGGGTTTCCCTCCACTCTTTGAGGGCATTTGCTTTGGCCACATTTTTTACTTTTTGAGTAAATGCAGTGAATACGGAGTTCATTGCCCATGATTGGTTTGCCTTTTGCAAAAGCAAATTGCATAGAGTACTGTACCGTATGTAACATGTTTAAAGCTGGAATTATTTCAATAAAAGTGTGTTAAATAAATGTTGAAGAAATTCCACCACTTGCGGATTAAGGATGAGTTTATTTAAATATTGCGGCTCAGCTGGAACATTGGTACATTACACAAATGTATATTAAATGCACAAACTTGTATGAGAATAACTACAGTATATCACATGTATGGATTTTCATACTTTTGTCACAATCATCGTAATTATCATCATTCATTAACAATCTCATTGTCACAATCATCGTAATTATCATCATTCATTAACAATCTCATTTAACTATTGGGAATCGTGGTTCACACTCTATACGGTAATATCATTTAGGGTCACATTTTGCATCTCTTTTTGTCTTCTTCTTCTCCTCCTCCTTAAAACTCAAGAATTACAAGATTTATCAAGTGATAGGTTTTTGACAAAATCAAGAAGGCCACACTCATCATCAGCATCATCAGTCTGACATTTCTCCACGCTCGCTCGAGGCTTTAAGTATGCATGGAACCCTAATCGTGGAGAGGGGGTAACAGGGTTGATCGCATTGAAGGGAGGGGGAAAGGTGGTGAGGGTGGTAAGGGTGATAGCAGGGAGACGGGACGGTGAAGCCAGCGTGGAGGTCACGTCATGCGCACCCTGGGGAGGGTCCCCTGGGACCGGGCTTCGGTACCACGTCCCCGTTTCACCCCCAAGGAACCCGATGCCAGTTCGGAACGGGGCCCATCAGACTCGGAGCAAGGAGTCGACTTCACGGGCGAGAGGTGGGGGCCCTTGTTCCCGCGGCCACCGGTCTTCGTCTTCTTCGGCTCGTCTGCTCCGACACCAACGTGAACAACAAACAGCAACATCGACGAATGCCACAACAACGGCAACAGCAGCAACAACAATAGCAGCATCAGCAGCAACAACAATAGCAGCATCAACAGCAACAACAATAGCAGCAACAGCAGCAACAACAATAGCAGCATCAGCAGCAATTTCAACCGCAGAAGCAGCACCAACAGACACCATTCGCCACTGCATTGAGCTTCGACATGAGTGGAAGGTTATGCATATATATAACAAACTAACCTACCAATGCAAGAACATCCGGGCATAGTACCCGTTTTGACAAATTTCTCAGAAACTTGGAACACACTGACAAAGAAACTGGAAACAAATGCTCAAGATATAATAAAAGGTTTTTACCATTTTATCTGGCAACAAAACTGATACTTTTTTTTTACAAGGGATCATGCGTGCATTAACCACAACACTTGCAGTCAAAATGCAAACAAAAAGACAACTGTGATAATGTATTGGCACTGTCCTTGAAATTGATTGGTCCACACCAGAGACAGCTTTTCTCAGTGCCCAGTCTCACATGGTGTTGGACCAGATGACGCCAAAAGGCGCACAACTCAAAGACAACGCACCATCAAAGTATTGAGAGCTCGGGGTAAGCTTTTAGGTATCAGTTTTGTTGCCAGATAAAAGGGTAAAAACCTATTATTATATCTTGCTACTGGCAAAGGAGGTCTCATAATGTTAAAGGTTACCCCGAGCTCTCAATAATCTGATGGTACGTTGTCTTTGAGTTGTGCGCCTTTTGGCGTCATCTGGTCCAACACCATGTGAGACTGGCCTCTAAGAAAAGCTGTCTCGGGTGTGGACCAATCAATTTCAAGGACAGTGCCAATACATGATCAGAGTTGTCTTTTTGTTTGCATTTTGACCGCAAGTGTTGTGGTTAATGCACGCATGATCCCTTGTAAAAAAGGTATCAGTTTTGTTGCCAGATAAAAGGGTAAAAACCTGTTTTTATATCTTGCTACTGGCAAAGGAGGTCTCATAATGTAAATGCTCCAGAGTGAACAAATAATAATGGGAGGGTGCTGCTTGCTTGGAATGACACTGCGGGAAAGAATAACGCGTTAAATTAGAGCACCTGACGCACACCAGTTCGAGGCGTTGCATTGACTGTTGAGTAAGGTGAAGGGGGCTTGGACGAGAGACCAAGTCGCTAGAATTGATGATGGCCAGTGGACGAGACGAATGTCTGTGTAAGCAGTAGGAGGAGGACACACGTCCACTCGCGGAGATGGAGCGATTCAATCGGCTCACGTCCAGCGACTCAATGGATTGTCAGATAACGAGACCGGATGGTTACTTTGAAAGGATTTCCATCCAGTAGCAAGGATTTTATCCATCAGTAGATGGAGTGTGGCTACGACTATGATGATGATAATAGTCTGACATATACAGTACTATATATCTTTCGGATGTGTATTTTCTGTTTTAACAACAGCGTTAAGTATTCATCTTGCGCGTGTTGTTTTTTTATCGTCTTACATCTCACGGGTAACGTCTGCCCTCTGCTGGCAAGGATTGGAAATAAAATATCGGCTTTATAACTCAACACTTAAGTCGATAAACAAAACTGCCTTCACATTTAAAATATAACAGGCGACGTTGTCGGGAAAATGGGCCTTCCGCAGAACACATAGAGAGGCCAGGCAGAGTGTGTAACAGCATAAAGCGTTCAGTTGATAAATATTCGTTTACATTATATATGAACATTTTCCGGTTAGGGGCCGTCCATAAATGACGTCACGCGATTTTGAACATGAATTGGCAACAACACATCACAATAAGGGGCCGTCCATAAATGATGTCACGCACCTAGGGGGAGGGGGGGGTCAGACATTTGGGTCGATGCGTGACGAGGGGGGGGGGGGGTTGAGAAATGTGACGTCACATTAAAATGCGCAACTTTAAATAAATATAGACAACACGTTCTACTTAATTAAATAGACTTTTTAATAAACGTTTTCTCCTACAACATCAGAGAGTGCAGCGCCACATTAAATACGCACTATAATGACAATAGTGTAAAGCGATTTGAAGCACGTTTTATATTTTTTTGGGGGGGGGGCAGAGCTTTGTGACGTCATATTTGAGGAGGGGGTCTAACTTCTTGTGACGCCGTGTGACTGGGGGGGGGGGTCAAAAAATCGTTCAAAATCGCGTGACGTCATTTATGGACGGCCCCTTACACAGAAACAAGCTCCCCGGTGTTACGCACATGCGGACATAAGCCGCAACTCCACGTTACAGGCACAAGCCCCCCCCCCCCGCCACAGCCCCGTGTTCATCAGATAAACACGAGACAACACCCCTTGTGGACACAGGCAATCGACCAACTCCACGTGTCTCACAGTCGCATAGAGGCTGCAGTCTGGCTCCGCGTACCTCGCTGCTTGGCGTAGCGCAGGGCGTATGGAGCCATGAGCATGGCTGGCGGACGTGTGGACAGGCTGGACAGCTGGGTCATCTCCCTCTGTTTGATGACAGAGAGCGAAATACATTCCAAGGATTGCAACGTCTCGAGACTTTGACGGTAGACTTTCAAAGAGGGGCTTTCTGGGCAGCTGACACGCGTGGTGTCAACGGGGACGATGGTGATGGTGATGATGGTGGTGGTGGTGGCGTTTGTAGTGGCGATGATGATGGCGGTGTTGGTAGCGGCAGTGATGACGGTGGTGATGATTACACTATGTAACACAATTATTGTTCCTGGGTAGTAAGTGTTATTTCGTAATTGCTTATGCCTAAAAAGTATAGAAAATGGCTATTATTTTTCGATTTTAAGCTTTCGTGACTGCAAGGATTCATCTTCTTTGGTTCTTTCGGTAAAGTCACGTAGAATGAGAATAAAATAATAAAATAAAACAATACAATTCTCATGTCTGGAACAGCATATTTTACAGATGGAACCAGATCACGGATTTTATGTACGATTCAACACAGTACATAAAATCCGTGATCTGGTTCCATCTGTAAAAGATGCTGTTCCAGACATGTGAGAATTTTGTTGTTTTATTTTTTTATTTTATTCTCATTCTACGTGACTTTACCGAAAGAACCAAAGAAGATGGCTATTATTCCCCATAAACTTTGCTTTTGTGACGAGGGCAGTGATATTTTGAAATTGACCTATTTTCAATGAGAAAACGGGCGAATTTGTGTCTTTTTGTTCACAAAGTCAGAAGAAAAAAACATCTGAATCAAAATTAACATGTATTTCTACTAAAGTAATACAGAAATTACTATAAAAGATTTAGAGAAGTGAGTAGTTTTTCGAGATTTACGATTATACTGTAAATCACTTTCACGAATCAGCCCCCAAATGTAGTCTCCCATCATGTTCTCGTGATATTGTCCTTGGTAGCGGCATTCAATGTTCAGTATATCGTGGTGGAAGCGCTCGCCTTGCTCCTCCGAGTACGCTCCCATGTTTTCGAATTTATCAAGATGAGCATCAAGGATATGGACTTTGAGGGACAACCTACAGCCCGTTGTGCCGTAGTTCTTCAACAGTCTCAACCAGCTCCACGTAGTTTTCGACCTTGTGATTGCCCAGGAAGCCACAAACCACTGCGACAAAGCTGTTCCAACCCGCTTTCTCCTTACTAGTGAGCTTCTTGGGGAATTCATTGCACTCCAGGATCTTCTTTTTCTCTGGTCCGACGAAGACACCGGCTTTGACCTTTGCCACAGACAGCTTAGGGAAGAAGTCTTGAAGGCGCTTGAAGGCTGCTGACTCCTTATCGACAGCTCTATAGTGATGATGATGATGCTGTTGAGTGCTTGTCATTATGCACATGCAACATGTGCACAATAGCCCCCACTTTAGGGGGCCCTCAACATTATTTCTCGATGTATGTCGCCGTGTTTTTCTCTGTTGTCTGTATCTGTATGCCTCTGTCATTGTGTCACCAGGTCTGTGTGTCTCTCTGCGCGTCTCTCTCTCTCGATGAACATCTCCCCCATCTGCACAGAGCCTCCCCCATTTGTTGAGCCAGCTCTGATGACGATTGTGTTTCACGAAAATTACTTTTGACAATGAAATTGTGCAAACGTTCCAAAGATATACGCATTCCTTGTGTTCTATTTCACAGCGATCTCTGTCTATCCACTGCTGGATAAAGGCCTCCAAACACATTTCTGTCATGGGGATCGTCTGACCATCCTTCACACTGGGAGAGAGCGGGGGTTGCTGAAGGTTATACAGTATTAATTATAAATATACCCTCTCAAATATCCTTCCGAAAACATTTTGAAACTTAGTATTACCACTCCCATTATGCTATCACGAATACCTCCGATGGTATTCGTGGGAGAATGCCTTTTTAAAAAAGAAAACTCTTCAACAAAAAAGACAACACACACACACAACACACGCGCGCGTTAAAGTGCAAAACACTTCAAGCAGCTGTAGTATTTGAATGGCACTCTACAGAGTCAACAGTGGGCACGCTCGCTTGGGCATCTCACGGCAGAGAGAGAGACTCGAGCATCGCTTGCCGACTCACGCCTACCTCAGCAAAATAATAACCACAATGTTTATTTATACCGCAGAAGGAATCCGATGAGATATAAAGCTCCTTTTTTTTACACAGATGTCCAGTTACGGGGGCGGGTCAGAAAGTGAGAACAACAAACATTTTTTTTAAAAACACGATAGGAGTGTAAAGTATATGAAAGGTTAAGAAAATCACTAAAAAAATATACATTTATTATCTGGTGGTGACGTTGCTGCTGCTGCGTTGGCACAGTGGTTACCCAAGCACAAACATCACAAACTCCAACACATTTGTCCATTAAACATCGTGGCCCTTAAAGAATAAGGGCCACAAAAGAATAAGGGCCATTTGTCACAACGTCAGGTACCTTAGCAGCTCTTCTCGTGAGGCTGTCCGAGGGACGGTGCCTGTACAGCATAAACACTTCCTCCAGATTTAAACTGTCCTTCATCGCACACAGACAAAACGAGCACAGTACTCTTTGGTTCTATTGGGTAAAGTCACGTAGGTAAAAAAAAAAATAACAAAAATCACGACGTTTCGGTCACAACACAAGCGGCCTTCATCAGGTGAAGGGACGAGACTGTCTGGAGGACAGCGCTGGAGTGAACAAAAAAAAACCGAGCACAGTCATGCCCCACTTTCTCCAAACACAAGACCCCGTTTGTGCTCAGCCGATTTCAAAAATAATAATTAAAAACAGTGCCATGACTGCAACTACACAAGGAGGCACTGTAATAACACATTTTAATTCAATATTTAGTTGCGATAATAGCTTTCACATGGACCACGGGTTACGCTTTTTGGATTTAACGTAAAAAATCAAACCCCGAAAGAGGACTGCGAAAATAAAAGTGGTGACGTATTTCTGGCGAGATTTATTGACGGAGAATAATAAAAAAAAATGTTTTAAAAAGAGCCATTCTCGTGTGCGTCTCGTTTTGATGTCAAGGTCGCCCATGTGCAGCAAAAGATGAGCGCGGCATAGGTTTATAACCCCCAAGAGAGATTTGTCGGGCGTACCGGCCGCAGTTTACTTAATTTATGAACGTGAAATGGGGTCCGGTGTTGGATTTCGGCACTGGCATTTCACACACATTTTTTAAATCGTATATTATTTGTTGTTGTTGTTTCACAGAGCTTCAGCTGTGTCGATCCCTGGTCGTGACTTACTATGAGACAGCTGGCGTACGCGGACAGGATCTCCGCCTCTTTCTCCAGCGAGACGTGACCTCCCGTGACCTTACTGCTGCCGCGGCAGGCTGCTCTAGACTCCACGAGGTACCCGCAACAACAAAAAACGAACAAAGAAACCAAGGGTTACAAATAATTAACAACAACAACAACAACGTACATTTGGCAATGCTCCAATAACGTAAGGAATGTCTCAAGAGCGCAGAAACACAGGAAAAGCGGGAGGGAATTGGGTGGTGATTGAGCAAGGGGAGGACAGAAAGGAAGCAATTAAGGGGATATGAAGGCACGGATGAAGAGGAAGGTGCTGTAATTATAATCAAAATAATTAATGAAATCCAGTGCCTTGGAGATGACGCTGTTGGGTCGTTAAGAAATAACAACAATAATAACACGTATGCCATTTATTTATATATAGTTTCAAGACTTTCTTAAGTGTACTGCAGTTGCTCTGCATCGTGTGTTCTGTGTTCTGCATTTCTCTGCATTGTTCTGTGTTCTGGATTTTTGAAAGTGTTCTTCGTTGTGACGTCTGGCCAATTGTCTTCAGTTAAGGAGGGTAAAGCAGATTAGGTACTCGAAAAAAAAACGCCACCATTCATATGACGGCATAACACTCAGAGGTCGGTACAAACAGGGTTCAAAAGCACCCTTGCTCGAACTGCCATAGCCTCGCCACATCGCAGCCCGGCCGATTCGGGTGTTTCACGAGTGCACGTGACCCACCGACCCATGCCTCGAAAGCATCGGATCACAGGCACGCGGGTACCATGTGTTAGATCACTTCCAAAAGCCAAAGGTCCGCAAGGTGGCCCGGAGATTGGCGTTACAGTACTGTCCAGCACAATAGATTCGTCGCCCGTTCGCGACAGAATATTTCCACAATGTTTACGGTTTGTATCTCTATTGCGTACGTGGCGTGTTCTGTGGCTGCTCAGTGCTCGTGTGCAATCGAGAAGGGGGCTTGTTGATTGCAGTGGTCACGAGGCGACCGCCGGACGGATGAATCGCCTGACCTTTCCTCCGGGTTCCCGGGGCCATCGTTCTGAGATCTGCTGCGCGGCAGTCGGACAAATGCCAGGTCAACGGCACGCTGCGGAGCACACGACCCACACTGAGACACAGCCGGGGTGGGGGTGCGTGGCAAGGCGGGGGGGGGGGGTCTCCCCACCCAACGAGTGACGTAACATCGCACGGCAACGTTGTGATTATTATCGTTGGTGTTCGATATGACGCAGAGCACAACACGCGGTACAACCCGAGCACCCATCGGAGAACTGTATACAAACACGTCCGCAGACACCTACGCAGGAGCATTATTAATACCGCATCGGTGAGTCCAATACCTCACTCGTCACCCTTTCCAGTAGCCGGAGCCTTCCTATCCAAATGTGCTTCCCACATTGTACATAATAATACATTGTTGGCAATTGACTGCTGGATGAAGGCCTCCCCACGCCATTATCTGACACAAGGTTGTGCACTGCTCACCGGAACAGTTCCGAACAGACCTGTCTTTATTCATATAATGACTCAATACCAGCAGCACAATTGTAGCCTAATGTATAACCGTAAACTGTAAACGAATATAAACAAAGAACATCGTCAAAATGTTTACTTAGCAAAGTGACTGATTGCTTACGGCTGGGGATTAATTTCAGTCGGGTCTGTCTAAATCAGCAACCCGTAAAATATATACACACCTGGAAAAACACATTCAGTATACATCTCACTATGGTCATGGTCCACCAGGGACCCAAAACATAGCTTGTGAGAAATTCATCCCAGACATGGCTTAGTGCTGCCTGCTTTATGAACTAGGGATGCTGCCACGGTGTTTGCACATCGGACTTGCAATCCAGAGGCCACCACTTCATTCTCCTGGCACGGAAAGTTTCCAAATTCACCCAATGAGCACACCGCAGTTGGTCCATTGGTCGCTTGTGAAGACGTAAAGTGTAGGTACTCCCACCTCTACCAAGATGTCCAACCAGCGTGGAAGTACAGGCCAAATACAGGGACGCCTCTACTTATGAACAAACCTGTCTGTCCATACTCTTTGGTTCTTTTGATAAAGTCACGTAGGTATAAAATAGAATAAAATAAATCACGACGTTTTGGGCGCAACACAAGCGTCCGTCATCTGCTGCTGAAGCAGACTGTTTTAAAAAGGTTTGAAATGGGTGTAGCCCAAGGGTCATAAAGAAGTGGCCGGGGCTAGTGATGTTAATTTGAGAAATTAGCGTGTAGCTGTAAGATAGGAGGGGAGCGGCCTCCTCGACGAGGGCACGGAAGTGGCTATGTTAATGTGAGAGATTAGCATAATGTTAATGTGAGAAATTAGAGGGCACGGAAGTGGCTATGTTAATGTGAGAGATTCACATGATGTTAATGTGAGAAATTAGAGGGCACGGAAGTGGCTATGTTAATGTGAGAGATTAGCATGATGTTAATGTGAGAAATTAGAGGGCACGGAAGTGGCTATGTTAATGTGAGAGATTAGCTGGATGTTAATGTGAGAAATTAGAGGGTACGGAAGTGGCTATGTTAATGTGAGAGATTAGCATGATGTTAATGTGAGAAATTAGAGGGCACGGAAGTGACTATGTTAATGTGAGAGATTAACATGATGTTAATGTGAGAAATTAGAGGGCACGGAAGTGGCTATGTTAATGTGAGAGATTAGCTGGATGTTAATGTGAGAAATTAGAGGGCACGGAAGTGGCTATGTTAATGTGAGAGATTAGCATGATGTTAATGTGAGAGATTAGCATGAAATAACAGCTGTCCAGTTGCTTGTTCCGACCAAGAATCCTAAGTTCAACCGCCGCACAATAGATGGCGGTAGTGGCATCTACATCTGCAGAACATAAAGAACCAGTGACATCTACATCTACAGGAGATTATACAACTTTTAAATCCATTCCCCGTGTTTAGTGTACATGCCGTACAACATGTTTGGAATCGACAGGAGTAAAGTTGACGTTACGGACAGATCTCTGGAACCTAACTCGTTCGTAAGTAGAGGAGTCCCTGTAACCGTCTGGGGAGCTCTCTCTAGTGGAGGCTCTTCCTCCAACAGTGGTGTGAGCAAGACAGTTGCAGGGCTGCCCCTTTACCATTACTCTGTGGACCACCCAAGCTGAGAGGGAATGATTCCACCGCCGTTGTTGAGCGGCGGGATGAGTGAGGAGTGCGTTCCAGTGTGGGGCCTCACACTGCTTGGGTGTCGTCCCACTCGTGGATCAAAGTCTCTCTCCCGCAGATGCACGGACAGATGCTGCTCCCTGTGGGACGAGACATGTGGGTTGGAGGTGGAGGGGGAGCAGTGGGGGGGGGAGGCTATCAGGCGAGATCCATCAAGTGTAAGGGACCTTCCTGAGATATTGTTAATTAACAATCATTTTCATGACTTATATTAACTATTTGTCATGCAATTGTATACTGCATGTGTATTATTCAAACATTCCACATATCCCAGGCTGTGCAGATGAATTCACAAATCAAGTTCTAGATTTGAAGCTTTCGTGACTGCAAGGATCCATACTCTTTGGTTCTATTCGGTAAAGTCACGTAAAAGTATTTAAAAAAAAACAAGGTTTTTTTTTTATCCTCTGCCAATTGCCAAGTCTTTGACTCACACTCCCTGTCTGATCTTGAGCGTTTTTTATTTCACCGTACGGACCTCTTTCCTTCGAGTGGTCAAGCAGCATCTTTCTTCTTCTGCCTCTGCGGCCTCTTCCCCAGCATCCACCCTTTCAGAACTTCATTGATCCATCTGCCAATTCTGACAATGCGCCCAATTCACATCTTTCACTCCTACCTGGATTGTTCTCGTGAGACCTCTCTCCTCCCGGACCTGTCGTGGAACCTCATTCTTCTTCCTCTCCATCCAACTCAATTGCCTACACAGACCTACAGTATGCCATTCGTCCCAGGTCTCCTTCGCTACGAGCCACCGTTGTCACCGTGGCCTCTCGTCTTGTTTACGCCAAAGCCAATTGCTTCCCACTAACATTTCAAGCCCTCTTGCCTCTCCCAAGTGCCCCCCCCCACTCAACCTCATCCCATACCACACTCCCCCCCCCCCCCCCCCACTTGATGCCACTCACAGTAACTGGGCTACAGCCGCCTTGAGCTGGCGCGTCTCCGACTGCACGGACATTGCTCCTCTCCGTCGTGTTCTGGGGCACACACAGCGCAAGCGGACACACCAGATACGTCACCACCCTCACGTCTTATATTCCACACTTGCCTCTATGCATTGCCTATGAGCAAGTTTATTAAATCCCACCGTGCCTCCCGGCAGTATAAATGGGCATACCACAGTTAGTCGATCGGCAGGTGGGTCGCGTGTTGTGGGGTAAAGTGTGGGTATATGCACATCTTCCAAGACGTCTGGCCTGCAGCATGGAAGAGTAGGCAAAATACCCTCTAGAGGGGCTCTCTTGAGCTCTCTCTCGTGGAGGTCTTTCTGCCAGCAGTGGTGTGAGCAAGCAACTTCAGGACTGCGCCTTTGCCCTGTTTTATTACGTTGTATATTGTATTGTCATCGTGGGGGTTATTTGACCGGACCTCACCACGCCAGTTAGTGCGGGATGGTGAAGGCGGGGAGCATAACAGTTTGAGCATAGAATCACGGTACAACAATGGATCTTCCTTCAGTATATATATATTTTGAAGTCCAAGTGCGCATCAGCGTCATGTGAGCGAATCAAGAGACTACGCTTGTACGAAGGCTAACCTGGACAAGATGCACAGTTGAGTAGAATTGAGCTATGGACGTGGCCGCGTTTTCCCGTATTGGCTGTGTCGTGCACCCTCCCTCCACCCAGAGTCTCTGTATGCCCCCGCCTTTAAACAAGGTACACGTGTCAGGGTTGACCAGATCTGTTGGTCACTTTGCTTTCACGGATTTCGCTCGCGGCTCATACAGAAGGTCGTCTTCTGACTCGTGCGCGCATTTATGGGAAATTCGTCCGTGTCGCCGTGTAGGTTGTCTCGTACTGGTTCAGTCACGTGCACGGTTGTTGTTGTTGTTGTATGTGAGCCCAGACAAATTACACGTGGCTTTTAAATCCATACCTCTCCGAGAACACACACGTATATGTGTGTGTGTTTTTACAAAGCGTATTTGAAAGATCCCATCAAGTGGTACGGTCTGTTCTAGCAAAAAACAAAGCACTTTACAGCATAACAAATACATAAATCCTTCTAAACAGCACATGCACAGTGATATGCGTACACACATTGGGTTATCGTGTTTGGCATGTGCGCATGTGCACAATGAATACATCATTTGACACGTATCTCCCAGAACTCGAGCCTCTCCAGATCACGGGCGCCGGCGCAATTGCACCGCCTGCACACTTACCAGCGCCTTCACTGCCGCACACACAACGCCGTCACGTCTGTATGCCGACACAAAGCACGGCACGTCTTGTGCGCACGTGTCTTTGGCCAAAGAGCGTTGGTTTTAGCCGTTTTACGCCTGCACACTCGATAACAAGCTATACGATAAACAGCCCATACCCGATAACAACACGTATACGCCACGCGCTGCATGATACACACACAACATCTGTACGCAAGTACCGGTAGAATGGTGCACGATGTATCCGCGTGTGCTTGCACAAAGCGGGTGACCACTGCGCCGTGTATTTTCTCCCCCAGTGGCATCGAGAGTAAGTAATGCGAAGCTCTACCACCCCCCCCGCTCCATCAAGTTCGGCGCTTGTGTAAAACACACCAGCCCGCTCCGTCAACAAGGCCGGACATCGGAGAGATGGCCCAAGCGGTGCGTGGTGAATATCCACCCCCTCCCCCCACCCCCCTTATTCATCTTTGTTTTCGCTCTCGCGAGCCAAAAAAAAACGTTATTCGACTCCGATCATCCCGTCCACCCACCACCACCACCAACAAACAAAAAAAAACTTGATTGAACCCATCAGGTTTTCGATGAATACGGCACAGGGCGCACGCGCTCATCGAATTCTCGAGAGCGGGCAACTATGGTAATTGTTGGAACTCAGACGCACCGCGGCAGCGTGCGTGCGAGCGTGGATGGTCACATAAATTGCGGCCCCTGCGAGTTGCGTCTCATTCACTCGGCTCAAGCAGATGCGCACGGGCACGTTAATTTTTATATTTATATAGTGCAGTGAAATCAATGGTCGGGGCTGTACCATGGCTCCATCGAGTATGCTCCCCGCAGTCGCTCGCGCCCGGAATTGCTGCCCAACGGCGCTCTGAAGTCTGGTCAGATGACCTCCACGACCCGCGCGATGTGGGGAGGCCCTTATGGTAATACTACAGAAATATACTTAATAATACAAACAATAAATAAGGGGCCGTCCATAAATGACGTCAGGCGATTTTGGACGATTATTGACCCCCCCCCGTCACACGGCGTCACAAAAAGTCAAACTCCTTCTCAAATATGACGTCACAAAGCTCTACCCCCACCCCCCCCAAAAATATATAAAACATGCTTCGAATCGCTTTAAACTATTGTCATTGTAGTGCGTATTTAATGTTTAATGTGGCGCTGCACTCTGATATTGTAGGAGAAAACATTTATTAAAACGTCTATTTAATTAAGTAGAACTGTTGTCTATTTTGATGTGACGTCACATTTCTCAAACCCCCCCCCCTCGTCACACATCGTCACAAATGTCTAACCCCCCCCCCCCCCAGGTGCGTGACGTCATTTATGGATGGCCCCTAAGGTAATGTGATAAGGTAATATGAGAAGGTAAATGTTCACACCCTGAAATTGCTTGATCACGCCACTGCTAATGGAAGGGCTTCCATTAGAGGAAGCTATACAGATGTAGGGGTGTTGTGGGAAGGAAACACACAGTGTGGGAAGGTAACACCCAGCCACACCTTGGTGGCTACAACCACGTCCGCTATAGCCTCGCCCTCAGTGGTGTATGGGTATAAAGGGCGGGGAGCCAGAGAGCTCGGGGCAGTGTGTTGGGGCCAAGAATGAAGAACCAGTGAAGAAGGAAGGCCGGCTAGATAGACCCTGGGACTTCCCTGACCGCTGTCCTTGTGAGGGCCGGCAGGGTAAGCCAGTGGTGCGGCCCCAGAGCCTCAGAGCCGGAGCCCTTTTAAGGGCCGGTCTGGTTGGTGGGGTGCCGTGATCTGTGCTTGACCAGGGCCAGATCAGATAGCCTCCTCTTGCGCCTGTAGCTGGAGGAACTGGGAGCATAGGAATTAGGCTAGATAGCCTAGGGGGTGTCCCAGCGTGTGTACGGGTGAAGGGGCTGTTACCCCTTCCAGTGTAACCCTTGTTACGTTAAATAAATAGTGCTGCCTCTACTCCACCATCTCCTTGTCCCGTGAACCCACTACACAGAGAACCCCTATTGAGGATATTTGGTGGACTCTTCCACGCTGTTCAAATGTCAGTTTGACACGTAGCAGGCTTTCGCGGCCAATATTATTCATAATAAAGGTTTTCGGGTTAGATCGCATTATTTATAAATGTGTCGTAACCTTCCACCACCCGACATGGCCAAACAGTAGAAAATATGTCACGTTGACAAAAGACAAATAGTTCACTACTTTAGTCCATCGGTGTGTTGAAGAGTGACTCCACAACATTTACAGTTTGAGTTCGACGTTTCGCTGGTAATTACATCCAGCATCATCGGGCAATTCGCCAGAATGGTGAAGCCCTCACTTGCTCCCGGTCTTAAATAGAGCAGCAGCAGGGTGACGTCATCATTTAACTCATTCAGGTGCAGTGATTTGAGACGGGGGGAGGGGGGGTATTGTAATTATAAAATAGATTGGTAATCAGTCAATCTGTCCAAATGTGTTGAAAGATATGGGAATACCCAAACTATACTACCTCGCCCACCACACGTGATCTGCCTGCCGCTAGACGAACTGTGCATGATGTGTGGATGAACAATAGCTCAATTTCAGATGGTCCAGGGCTGAGATCTGGAAAAAAGGTTCCTGCATCCCCCCCTCTCCCCTCATTTCTGTTGGCTGGAGGTGGAGATGGGGCTGGGGGCTATGGGCCGTTCCGGAATATATTCCATGAGAAACTACACCTTGGCATGAACTGACGCGATTCGCAAATCCAAATTCATTTCGATTTCTACCGCAAGCAATCTGTCCGTGTTTACCGGTGTCTCCGTGTTTGCGCAATGCACAGTTAGTAATGTGCGCACCTGCATTGAGACTTTAATTGAGAATAGCCCACGGCGCATGCGACTGCGGTCACCAATCTCAAACCAGGGACCACACAGCGACCACTACCCGCTTCGAGAAATTAGCTGGAAGCACATGTTTATCCATTTATAGATACCCCATAAATGGGTAAACAATATTATGGAGGAATTATAGAGAAAACGGCATTTTATTTCGGAGTTTTTTCAGGCCGCACCTCCGATTAGCACGGTTTGGTTATGTACGGTGCGAAAGAAGTTCAACATTCATGTCATTTAAAATGTATGGGGTATCTATAAATGGATTTCCCTATATGTCAAGATATTCACTCCTGAAGCCATATATTGGCCTACAAACATCGACATGAACATTGTTTTATCAACTCCCTACCATACGAAGGAAAGAAGATTGACATTGTTAATATATGGGACGGTAGGCTATGGACTGGAAAGATAACACTGACTTATATTTAAATGCTCTTCTCATAATACTTGACATGGAGATAAACGTGACTCCAGTAATAACAGAGTTAATCAACCATTTCCATTTTTACTCAAAACTAGAACCAATATCTTAAAGACAGGGTATCATCTCGCTGTTCACCAGCATTGATTCAAATAATGCTGACTGCTGATGTGACACTGTATGTAAAAATCGGTGAAGGGTTTGCTTGCACTGAATCAATGCTTCTGAAATTATGCACTCCCAAAAGGCCATGTGGCTAAAGGGTTGTGTAAACATTGTTATATTTTTATGTGAAGAGACACATTTGAAGAGGGCATCGTCTGCGTACCTTAAGTATTTTTTATTTTACCAGGTAAGGCCCACCTAACTATACAGCTCTTTCATCATCATCATTAGACCTCTTTTTCAGACGTGACTTGATCACTGAAAGAGTGGCTTATCACGTGGAAATTTATAGCAGCCAAATACTCTCATCGCATGTTTCTAAATGTGGAGGGAAAAACCTGAGGACCCAGAGAAAAATCCACGCGACCATGGGGAGAACATGCACACATCAAATATACAAGCATCAGGGTCGGGATCAAACCCACGAACTTCTGCATACCAGGCGAGGCAGTTAACATCTCGCCGCATGTGAATTGGGGCCTTTCAAGTAGATGCCCATGTCATCATTTGAGTAATGGACTTGGATTCTCATTGCGTTATCTATCAATAACTTAATAAATTCAACCACAACTACCTACATGCATGCATATATTAAACAATATATGAACAAAGCAAATTCGAGTAAAGTCTATTCATGAGCCAATACACTCTTAGATATTATTTGTCTGCATCTCGACGTTCTGCAATGGTAAAAGATAAAGGTACAGCCCTGTAATTGCCGGCTAATGCCACCGCTGGCTGAAGGGCCTCCTTTAGAGAGGCCAGCCAGTGAGTGTTTGGCCTACTCACTCACGGTGGCCAGATGTCTTGAAGAGCTGGAAGTGCCCACACTTTACCCCATCACACGCGATCTGCCCATCGACTGTGGTGCACCCATTTATATTTATGTGTGGAGAGTGGCAGAGGGATATCAGAAACGTTCCCATTATTTCAACCAGCACACCACTGTGGCAGCACATCTCCACGTTGTGTACGAGGCTTAACAAAAATGTTGAAACTCGCTGCCTCCCCGTAAGAAGTCATAAATCATTGTACCTGTCTTGCAGACATCGACATCAACGCATTCCAGCCGCTTACCTGTTCACCTGCGTATGCACCGCTGCGGTCAACGGTAGAGCACGTGGCACGGCACGAAGCGGTCGCGATATCGTCTAAAAAAACACTAGAGCCAGGCGTGCATCATCATCATCATCACTGCTACCACACCACGACCATCGATCGTTGTCACAGTCATCACCACTACCATCCACACATTCTCACTGCACAGACCTGCCTGGGCTGTTTGGGTGAAAAACTAGAACCAGCCTAGCCCCTGCAACACTGCTGGCTGGCAAAGCAGCATTGCTCTCGCCTGGCCTCTTTTTGTTTCGGTTTCTTGGCAACCGTTCCCAACACCCAAATGGGAGATGAGGGGGGTGAAATGTCACTCAGCATTATTCGGTGCAATTGAGGTAGTCCGTAATTCTGGTTGCCTTCATTCTGTGTTACATGCCTTACCCGAAATGGGAGTCTATGAACGCATTACCAAATACTGTGCAGCGTAAAATTGTGGTAACATTGTAATGCATTTATATAATCATCACCTGCCATGATCAGGTGATGATCGAACCCGTCAACCCGTCCTTCGCAGGCGTCCTCCGACATAACAATCCCACGGAGCGCCTGCCCACGAGCTGATCGGCTGATTTCATCGCTCCATCTCCGCGGTGGCAGTGCTTTCTCTCTCTCGGATGCCTCCCCTCGCTCGGCTGCCACTGCCGTCCTTAGTCTCGACCACCAACCGTCAGCCCTTTCAGCAATCGTGTCCTGCCGAAGCCCAATTGGTTTTGTGAAGAGTCAAACGGATTGCTTTGAGCTGCGCGTGTCCGCGCGTCGCCTCTCCTAGCTCTCGGTGCAATTCCGCGCATGCACCTGTCCGAGCTTTCTCCGTGCACTTTTCAGTTGGTTTAGTTTTTTATTCCATCGGTTTGTTCCATTTTCTTCTTGCGCGTGAAACGTCTTCGAAGACGTTTCACGTGATTACGTAACCACGCTGGGCCTCGTGACCCACTCTCAAGAGGGCGCTGCCGCGGACGTTTGACCGATCCCACGTTTGAACAGGATGGAGTTGCATTACCGTGCATTACATTATACAGTCTTTTGTTTCCAATATAAAACGCCTTCGAGATGGGTTTAATATCAATCCACCTGTTTATGCAAGGAAATTACACTCATTGCACACTCATGGCCTCGAGCGCAGGAAACCCAATTAGGGCAGCGCACACGTTGAACAGCAGCATTGCGGCGTATGCATTTGCACGATGGTGCATAATATGCACCGGGTCTTTTAAATGCGACTAACAGTCATAACATTTAAAAAATATATTTTTATTTAAAGAACCTCAGAATTGTATTTTTTTGTCCCCCCCGTAACACGATCCGTTTAGCATGTTTATCTTACTCAGCAGGTGCCCTTCGTGTGGGGCCGTTAATGCACCCATCCAGTCAACAGTGAATGTTGGTCCAACCGTTCCATCCACATGGCAACGTTGGCACAACGTTGGCACAACGTTGCCATATTTCATGGGTAGGACCCTGCGAGCGTGTGATATCTGAACTGGTGTTGGGCATCCCCTCCTCTTTCACCAATCCGCAGTGACCACCACAGTGAAGTATGGTCAAACAATCTCCAAGACCTACATAGAAAGGGAGGCCTTCGTGCAATAATGGATTGACAAAAATGCCTAAAAATTAGTAAGTGAGCATGGGACGGATTGGTGACGCGACAGTTTGAGCACTAATCTGAGTTCCATTTTCGACCCTTACACCAGTCTCGTTCAATACAGTGCATATGAAGCCGCATGTTAACTTATAGTCAAACAAACATTTATTGTATAGGCTTTTAGACGAAATATGTATTGATGGGGAAACTATTCAAATTGAAGACTGTTCGTCTAGAAAATGTATGTTTTATCAGGGCACCACGGAGTATACATATCCACTTGATCTCTCTGGCCTCTGTTGACGGTCCAATGCCAGAACCATCACCTGTTATATATATTTTCGATCGTGCTGAATTTTAGTGATTCATGTGTTGTCATTACTCCGGTTTTATTCCACATAAAGCCACGCACGTATTGTTGTTGTTATAGAATTGGCCAAACATCCCGCTGGGGGACCCTTACAGTGTTTTGTTTCACAGAGACTTTCCAGGGCAAATAAAAGGCAATTATTGTCTCAAGTCAGCAGGTGGCAGTCAATCACTAACCTGGCTCTCGCGTTGTGTTGGGAGAAGATGTTTAATCTACTGAGCACATATTATTCTAATAAGAGACCAAACAAATTCCGTATTGTGCTCAAAGTCGAAGTCAAATAGATCTCTACGGCCAATGTCATTGATGCCACCACGTATTAAATTCTCTTCAATGTTTGCTCACATCCTACCATTTGGCGTTAGGTCCTCCCTTAGGTGGCGGACCTTTGCATGCCTCTCCCAATACCTGGGTAACAAGCGCTTGTCCATCCAGCGCACGTATATGCCGTCTGCGTTCTATTACAAATCTCCGAGTTGTTTATCCTATCCTGTCAGCACATTTGTATCATCCACTTACATCCACCTGCACTCGATGGGCAGAATAATACTTTTATTCCGTGGTGTAAAGGATGGCACGCTGGCTTCGCAGTTCAAACGTTTGTTCTCCTGGTGCGGCATATGAAACAATGAGGCGAGTTTCTGAAATCTTCCTCGCCTCTGGATACACCCCAGTTAGTCGATGGCAGGCGGCATCTTCCAGGACGTCCCAAACAAGGTGGAAGAGTTTGGCAAAATACCATCTGTAGGGGCTCTTACTGAGCTTCCTCCAGTGCATGCGGTCGGCAACCTGCGGCTGAGAAGTCGCATGCGGCTCTTTAAGGACTGACTACCTTTGCACTGTCCATCTGAACAAACTGCTAAATCGCTCTCCGTGGTGCTAATGTAAAAAAAATAACCGCCACTTTTTTCAAATGTTCTTGCCGTGGTTTTCACACCTGATGATGATTGCTTGTGTTGCAGTCGAAACGTCGTGAGAATTTTATTGTTTTATATTTGTATTATTTTATTGTTTCCCTTCTACGTGACTTTACCGAAAGAACCAAGAATATACTTTGTACTGTTGTTCACATAGTGGAGGCCCATCGGCCAGCAGTGGCATGAGCAAAACGATTGTAAGGCTCCACCTTGACCTCTTGTCAATGTTCAACTTTCTGCCCGAAACGCCCATCTTCTCAAGACATCTGTAAATGGTGAAAAAAAACCCCATAAAAGCCGAATCTTTAGTGCAGACCGAGAAGCCATGAGTTTCAAACAACACACGGAGACGTTTAAACATCACGGAGACGTACACATGCGAAAAACCACCGGCATTCCCTGAACAACTGAACTGCATTGGTCCGGTCCACGGTTTTCAATCACTGCATCACTGCGGCTGTCGATCACACTTGCTCACATTTAATTTAATGGTGACACAAGACAAAGGACCACAATGCACCTGTAATGCTGATAGTTTTTGCATAAGGCACGAAGGCTGTCTGCCTTTTATACAATTATCTGTTGTTTGAAAACTATTTCTCAACACTAAATCTTATGAAAGTCTTTAGTGGCTTATGTAGTCAATCAAAAACCCACCTGTGACAACATTCACTCCCGTTTTAGTCCTCTCCAAGACGAGCCCCGCGTGCTGGAAGCTTCTTCCATTTCGATCCAAATTGCTCTGAGCATCGAGAGCGAATGTGAGACATCGTGTTGAACACCAACTACAATAACAACGTCAAGAGCAGCAGATTGAAACCACAAATCAGAGAGCCTGTACAACACAGCCGCAAATCCCTACACAGTTGGGATGTGTTTAAACTGTTCTGTCAAGATGTGGTGGTGGCAATATGTTAACTATCGCGCTTGGTATATAGGAGCTCGTGGGTTCGATCCCGACCCTGACGATGCCTGTATATTTGGAGCTTGCATGTTCTCGCCATGGTCGGGTGGAATTTTCTCCGGGTCGTCCAGTTTTTCCCTCTACATTTAGAAACATGCGTTTAGAGTATTTGGCTGCTATAAATTGTCCCAAGGTCGCTTCTAAAAAAAAAAGAGCTATATAGCTCAGTGGGTCGTACCTGGTAATATATATTTTTTATCGTTTAGTTTTTGATGTAGAAGCTGGCCCTTAATGTGTGTCCAGTGAGTTGGGTCTCTTGTACACCAAAAGGTTGTCCCTGTCCACACTGCAGGATTAGGGCACATCCTGGACATCTGCTGTTTGGTTAGCTTTTAATGCCAAAAATACACTTGCACTCAATATTGGGCCTTATATGGAGCTGCAAATACTTAGTTCAACAATCTCGGTCAGTATCCTCCGCGGGTGGTTATACAATTGGGCGCGTCTGCGATCGTCACAAACACACCTCGGTGACCGGGGATCAGGGTTCAACCGTGAATCCGGATCGAGCTGGTTGTGGTTACGCAAGCCCGTCATCCAGTGGCTAGGATGCGGGGTTAGTGGTTCACTTTGGAGATGGAACTATGGAGTTAATCTTATATTTCGTGGCCCTCCGTGTTCACGAGATGGGACTGTAAAAATGTAAAGACCGTCTGCTTTACCACCATGACCAGGTCTCTGTGAGGTGGTCATGGGATGACAGTACTGTAGAGCAATGAACTATTTCATCTGTCTGTGTAGAGCTTTGAGTTCTACTGCCTTGTGTGCGCGGGTTTCATCTGGGTACGGACTCCAGTTGGATCACAGGTGCAACACATTAATTTATGAAATTGGCCAAACAACCAAATTTTGATGTAAGTCTGCAATAATTTTTTGGGAGCTCATTTCAGTTCCTGAATAATGTAAGCTCCAAACACGTGGAGTGAAATGTTGGACATCGTGCCGAACAACGCACAGTACATCGAGAAAACACATCGAAAGCCTACGTGTTAAACTATACAGCATTACTGCGAAATCCTATGCAGGAGCTTACCAATGTAGAACCCTCCAGAAGAAAAGAGTAATGGAACTCCGCGATGTTTGCCTGGATAAACAAATGTAATAATAATTATTACTTAAGCGATAATCAGACCAGTGGCTGTACAAACTGCATGGCCCATTGCCAAATGTACTGACTGCTCTGTGGGTCATTTGGTATTCCAGACGGCCAGACACGAGCGTACATACACAACGCGATGAATCTCGGCGCGACCCACACACACTATAAGGCTTTATACAAACTTGCAATATGTTAGGGTCGATACGGGTTCAATAATATGTGTTTGCGCTCATGTTGGGATTGTGTTGCTCTGTAACCCGGACCATTGTCAAAACCTGCGTTCATAAGCAACTCTCGCAAGCCTCCAAACGGACAAGTTAAGTTTGTCCACTTAGTCCACATTGCAATCTTAAACGCAACTAGACCCATATTGTCAGCGATGTCACCATCCTCAACAGATTCAATGGAGGAATCGATCGTAGACTGGCGCTGTGATGTGAGTTGCACTTCAATATAGACAGGGAGAGAGTCAAATTAATTGCAGGAAAAACCAAAATGGTTTATTTATTTTTAATTGGAGCTCAGCAGGTAACTGATTTTAAACCAAATGTAGGCAATAGATTCAAATGCCTAGAGGAGCAAATTGATTAAATGGATGTCACCACTTGAATAATGTCATTTATTTATTGTCCGGTGGTGGGAAATTTAAAGATTCAAGTTTAGTCTCATCGACGAGAGTGACCTGGGTCACCAAAATGACAAAAGCAAAACAATCGGAACGACAATTAAAACAACGATCACGTGAAGAATTGTGTGGTGCAGCGGTTCGTTGTACTGGCCTATGACCCGAGTTCGATATGGTGGCACACCTCACATGAGTGGTGAGCTATAATATCGAGACCGATAGGGCCCACCGCCCCGTCACCAACACGCGCTCACCAAGCGTGGTGACAACACGGTCAAATAATCCCCATGGTTGGAACATGGGGAAGTCTTCAGTGGTGGGGGGGGGGGGGGGGGGGTGGCACGTGCACACCCCCCCCCCCCAATGATCCGATCGAAATCCTTAATTTCGATCGGATCATTGGGTTTTATTAGTAATAAATCGGCATTTTGCGACATCCACTGCCACTGTGTAGCATATTATTTCGTGCCAGGGACTCTATGAGATGATAGGACA